GCATTGTCGAAAAATTGTTCGTTTGGCGATCTTACATCATCATTAATCAAAGACAGAGTTATCGTTAGAATGCGAGATAAATCAACAAGACAGAAATTGTTGAGTGAAAAAGGATTGACCCTCGAGAAGTGTCTGGAAATAGCCCGTTCATACGAAGCGACAAGAATTTGCATGAAAACTATGCAAGAGAATAGTGATAAAGATGCAATAAATCGAGTACAAAAATACAAGAAAAGCGGTAACAAAACCAGGAAAATTCAGGGTCAGTCATCTTTTGAAAAAAAAATCAGAAAAAAAGGTTTTCTAGAAAGTGTTATTTCTGTGCTAGAGATTATCATAAGCGTCAATTGTGCCCTGCCAAAAACAGTACATGTAATAACTGTGCCAAGAAGGGACATTTTCAAGCAGTATGTAAGTCCTCGAAAGCGGTACGAGGAGTACATTATGGGGAACAATCTAGTAGTTCGTCAGATCAAGAAACTGCTTTTCTTGGGGCAGTTAACAGTCTGAAAGATAAACAATGGTCTGTCGATGTTTCCATAGACAATATTAATGTTAACTTCAAAATAGATACTGGAGCTGATGTAGACATAATATCGGATAAAATCTATAGAAAGTACTTCAAACACAAGCCATTATTTCCATCAACCAAACATCTCAAGGGTCCAGATCGTAAGCCCCTCCCCATATTAGGATACATTAAAAGTTTGATAAGAAAGGGAGACAAAACTACTCATTCGGATGTATATGTTATGAAGGGTTGAACGCCTCTCCTTGGAAGAGAAACTAGCGTTGCTCTTGGTGTAGTAGCGTTAATTAATCATGTTCAGAGTCATCCCCAGTTTTCAAGGGTCTTGGAGAAATGGAAACCCCATACAAGATTGAGTTAGAACCTAAGGCTGAATCATATGCAGTTCAGTATCCTCGACGGGTAGCGGTGCCATTATTACCTAAGGTAAAGAAAGAACTTGACCGATTAGAAGCACTTAAAGTTATTGAAAGGGTTACTAATGCTACTGAGTGGTGTGCCCCTATAGTAGTAGTGCCCAAATCAAATGATAAAGTTAGAACTTGTATGGACTACACACATCTAAATCAAGCAGTGAAACGGGAAAGACACATCCTTCCTACTGTTGAACATGTACTTGCTCAAATGCCATAATCTTCTCTAAACTCGATGCTAACTGTGGTTTCCTTCAAATAAAGTTAACAGAAGATTCAAAGGCATTTACAACCTTTATAACCCCATTTGGTCGGTATTGTTATAATCGCCTACCATTTGGAATTAATTCTGGTCCTGAGCATTTTCAGATGCAAATTCACAGAGTTTTGGAGAAACAGTCCGGCGTTGCTTGCATAATGGATGACATGGTTGTCTAAGGTAAAGACCTTCAAGAACATGAAGAAAGGCTGAATGAAGTTCTCGAAAGGCTGTCAAAGGCAAACATAACGTTGAACGAAGAAAAGTGCGAATTCAGAAAGTCTGAAATCTCTTGTCTTGGACAATTGGTTGGAAAGAATGGGGTTAAGCCAGATCCAGCCAAACGCAGTTTTCTTGGAATGGTAAATCAACTTGGGAAGTTCTTACCCAAACTAGCAACCGTGACAGAACCTCTACGTGGTCTTCTGTCGACAAGGAGTAGCTGGTATTGGGGTCAACCACAAATACGTGCATTTAGTGAGATAAAGAAACTGCTAAGCTCAAGTCCCGTGTTATCACTCTATAACCCAAGCTTGCCAACTAAGGTCACAGCTGATAGTTCATCCTATGGTCTTGGTGCAGTCCTTACACAGCAACAGCCAGATGGAAGATGGAGTCCAGTGGCATACGCCTCTCGTTCCTTGACGCCGACAGAGCGCCGTTATGCACAGATAGAAAAGGAAGCATTAGCAGTCACTTGGCCCAGCAACAGATTTCAAGACTACCTTATTGGAATAACCTTCAAACTGGAAACAGACCAAAAGCCTTTAATTCTTTTGCTAGGAACAGCGAAGTCCCTGGATCAATTACCACCCCGCATACAAAGAATGAAGATGAGGTTGATGCGATTCTCATATACAATCGGTTATGTCCCTGGTAAAGAATTATACACAGCGGACACTCTTTCGCGCGCCCCGGGAATTGACACGAATGATGCTAAAGATTTTACGGATGAAATTGATGCATTTGTCAACTCGGTTGTCGAAAGTCTACCCGCAACTGATTCCCGACTAGAAGAGATTAAACGATATCAACAAGAAGACGACACCTTCCAAGAAATATCTAGATATGTCATTAAGAAGGATGGCCAGAGAAGGCGAAACTTAAAGGAATGGTACGTCATTATTGGCCACATAGAACTCAACTCTCTATAGTGAGTGGTCTACTCTTGTATAAATCCAGAATAGTAATTCCTTGTGCTCTAGATAAGCTCCATGAGGGACACCAAGGAATTTTAAAGTGCAGGCGACGAGCAATTCAATCAGTGTGGTGGCCCGGAGTCAGTAAAAACACTAAAGAGTTGATTGACAACTGCAGAATCTGATGCCAGACTACAAGGAATCACCCCGAACCACTCGTTCCTACACCAATGCCGTCCCGTCCATGGCAAAGATTGCAGTCGATCTTATGGAATTCAAGAAAACTCAATATTTGGTTGTAGTTGATTATTACTCGAGATACATCGAACTGTCTAAATTGGAAAGTACCTCAAGTGCCTCCATTATTAATTACCTCAAATCCATCATGGCAAGACATGGAATTCCTGAGACCTTGGTGTCTGATAATGGTCCGCAATTTTCATCGAAAGATTTCCTTGCTTTTGCCAAAGATTATGGGTTTGCTCACATTACCAGCAGTCCTGGTCATGCGTCTGGAAATGGAAAAGTCGAGCGCGCTGTGCGAACGATTAAAGATCTTTTGTACGCTGCTCAAGATCCATATGCTGCTCTTCTCAATTATCGTAGTACACCGTTAGCTAATGGATACAGTCCAGCCGAATTATTGATGTCTAGGATTATTGATGTCCAGCCGAATTATTGATGTCTAGGATTAGAACGAAGGTGCCAGAACACCCGAGAAATTTGAAACCTGTTCTGCCCAATCATATACAGCTTCAAAAAAAGGAGGGAAAATCTCGTGTGAATATGAAGTTTAACTTTGACAGACACAAAGCAGCAAAGTTACTTCCGGTGTTTTGCAAAGGGAACGAAGTATGGTTACGAGATAGAGAAGAAAGCGGGACAGTCGAAGGACAAGCGGACAGTAATTCTAACAGATCTTATGTTGTTACAACACCATCAACAACACTAAGAAGAGTTCAGCTTAATAAGCTACCCAGCAAAGATTCAAGTTTGTCTAATCCTAATTCAAAGTATCCAAAAACCATCAACAAGCAGTTACCCAACAAGCAGTTACCCAACAAACAGTTACCCCAACCGGTAGTTAAGCAACCAGAGCGTCCATTGTTCAAACGAGATCAGGAAGAGTCGTAAAGAAGCCTGTACGATTTACTCCATAAACATTTATATATATAGACATTAAGCTTATTGGAATAGTTACGAACAGTTTGATAATTATTACTTATTAGTGAATATGAACTTAATTAATTTTGGTATGAACAATTAGATATTATTAGTGACAATAATTATATATAATATTATATATATTATTAATATATATATATATATATATATATAATATTATATATATTAGTGATAGGATATTACAGAAACAATATTATATTTTCAATGTTATATTTATTATTATGAACATTTATGTTATAGTAGAACTTAAAAGGGAGATGTAGTGTTATTGGTATAACATATAGTATTTAGTTAGTTAACTGAGCGCGGGCGCATTTCTTGTACAGTATATATAGTCTGATATAGTCTGTTCAGGGACACACTTATATTAATAAAGTTCTAATCCTTTGCAATCCTGGATCTGTGCCTTCAGTCGTAACACAACAGAGTGTAGTACCTTTCTCAATCACTGGGGAAACAATATATCAACAATATGCATTAAATCAGTGAACAATTCCCAGTCATCATTTCCTTCTGGTATCCATTTGTGAACCAAAAATGGCAGGATTCTAGAAAGACACCACATTTGTGATGCTGAAATACAATTCAATTAGTGCCAGCATAATGTTAAAGCTCAGACTAAACACTGACTTTATAAAAACTTTTAGAAGAACTATGGGAACTATGGAAGTTGGTGTCCATATTGCTGCAAGCGTTTTTACGCGAAATAGGTGTAGGAAAACCTAGAGGTGTTAGTTTACACTAATGGTGTATATTTACACCGCGATAGTGTACACATAGCTGCATAAATTTTACCCATAAATAATGTAACTTAACCTAAAATATAGCTACAAGATTATACACCGGTTTCGATGTTGTGCCAACACTCCGAGATTTACAGTGTTGCCACTTCAAACCTCCTCTGACTGCGATTCTGATGCTATTTTCATACGGCAGACGATCACTTTCTTCGACAGCATTCGACTAGGTCTTCGATCGCATTCTCATCATTGTCGCATTCAGCAAGCTGTTGGTTATCATCACGAATTCCGTCTCGAATTTCATCTGTTTTTGAATCACTTGGATTAAGTGTTGTTGATTTCGACATATTACCGTTATATTACCGCAATGTTAAGTTATTCGGTCTCCCCGGGGTTCGACCTCGGTCTGACCGATGTTTTACCTAGGTTAACCGCGGTTTTTGTTATATACCTTGTAGTTTTTCAGTACTGCTGGGAGTCTGAGTATAGTAACTATTGCCCGTGCCGTAGTTACTTGTTAGGAAGCCAATCAGAATACTGGAATAATTTCTATTTGCTCCGAATTGAGTAACATTGCCACCTCGAATTAGTCGTCATTCCTGTTCCAGAATAAAAGTTCCGTACAACTGTTTTGTGGTTATATCATCAAAACAGCAATTGTTACCGCAATTATTGGTAGGCAAGAAGTGTGCAATTTAGCAAATTAATATCCTGTATTGTAATTTTATCATGTAGGTATGTTATCTCCTTGATTGTCTCGTGGACGAAACGCTGAAGATGAAAAGGTTTACTTGGAACAGGTATTTGTTATTGATAATTGTCTACAAACTTTTCACTGAAAAATTATTCAAAAAATTCGCTTATAAGCCTCCTTGCAGTGCTGCATGTGGACGTTTGCACAGAAATGTATCTGGCTGCACAGGCTGTTTTATGGAAAGTTTTAAATGCGGTTGTGCTAACTTTTCCCGCGCGAAGCTATGTTATATCAGCGCGTCTATAAGATAGGGCGGCGAAACGCACGGATGGCGTGTTGAAACATGTGTGATGCGATTTTAGGACTGGGACGGGGCGGTCGGCGAAAAATTCTCGAACGAAACAATATTTACTTGGTTTTTAACAAGCTCGATTAAAACCACTCAATCTCTGAAACTATTAACGCGATATCTAAAATAAGATTTCTCCTGTGTAATTTATAACTCTTTCTATAAATATTGTGTCTAAAAATGGTTTCTTCAAAAGTTAACTGACCGAATTTGTCAAATTAAAACTACGGATACGCACGGCTACTTGGTCTGTTTTTAGATGTATCATGCATATTTTGATTTTTCTCAGTGAGGAAAATCCCCAAAAGCATTATACTTCAAGATTTGGTGTACAGAATATTCACAAACATTTGTAGCAAATTTCACTACACAACGTTTTGAACCTTTTTTGCAATCATTTGTAGAAGTGAACGTATTCAAACTTTCTACAACAAAATTGTTTTCACGGCTGCGAGGTCGGAAAATATCAACACAAAATCCCGTTAAATTATATTATATACTTAGATAACGTTCCGAATTGAAAATATGATATGTTTTTCTTTCGTCATGGCAATGTCGACCTGGCCAAGCTAGAAACAAAACAAGAAAATGCTAACTTACTTGCAAGAGCATTTGACCGCGTCGCAACAACGTTTTCGAATTTTCAATATACAAAATTTCCATTAAAAAATTGAAAACCTTGCCATTGCTCCTAAAGCTGGAAAATTTAGAAAATAACTCCCTTGTTCATTAACATCGATTCCACGTGCAAATGGTTGCATAATGTTTTGAACCTTTTTCACAATTTTCTCTGGAAAACGACAACCATAAAACGGAACCATGTTTACAAACTTGTCTAGGTAACCAGCGGACTGGGACGGGTATAAAAAACACGAAGAAACCCTTTCAAGAACAGCAATTAACTCCTTTACGTTAAAATTAACAGTATTTCCAACTGGAAATGACGAATTTGTGTCATCTGTTGCCAGATCAGTGTCATCCAAACTAATAAACATCTCAAGTTCTTCGTCATCTAAGTAACCCGCGCGCCGCCATTTTGAAAACAGTTTTTTCAATCTTCATGGGGGGTCCGCACATCGCACATGTTTCAACACGCCATCCGTGCGTTTCGCCGCCCTATCTTATAGGCGCCCTGGTTATATATAGGAAGCATATTCGATTTACATATTTTAAACAAGTCTTTAACAAAATATCTTTTTACGAGAAATAATCCTACGCCATAAATATAGCCGGATTTCTTGTACATATCATTTATGGTAATCTTGACGCGTTTAGAGAACTTATCCAATGGATAAATCCTATCCATCGGATAAATCTGCTACCCATTGGATAAAAACGCGTTGCACGAAGCATGGATAGTGCAGTAGATATCTATCCATTACATAAGTTAAAATTTACCCGGAGAAAACAGGATTTTCCTGAAAATTCGTTATAACATTGTCATTAAATTCATAATCATTATGAATTCTCGATTAGTTAGCTACTGGAGTGAAAAAGACTTGAACAAGTGATTTGCTTGAACTTTGCACGTCATATAATAGCGATTTTATTCAGTATCTAAATGTTTCCTGTTTCGATTTTGAACACATTGCAATTTATTCCTTGACCTTGCAACTCTTCGCCTCCCGGTTCCATAGGAACACTATTTTAAAGTTTTGAATGGCTAATCAAGGGCAGGGCGTGTATAAGATAGGGCGTTGAAACGGCGATACATTGGTATGAAACATGTGTGATGCACTTTAGGACTGGGCCTAGCGAGGAAGGGCGCCAAATGTTTTCAAATCAAAATTTTAATTCGAAACTCAAAGAGACAAACTAAATGTGTTAATTTGTCAAACCTATGAAGTCAATCGTTTGCATATATTTTTATATTATTGTTTACTCTTTTCGTCGTTTTTGTGGGTAGCCGCTGCGCATGCGCGGCTAACCACTATGTTGTTGAAAAAGCGTCTGTGGGTATACGTACGTCGGTCGTTACTTCGGCGATCGTCGGATAAACAAAAGGTGACGAACATACTGTTCGTTTGTTCGTCAATACTTCCGGAAAATTTCGTCTATTCTTTCGGGCTATCTTTAAAAGGGGGAACAGGGAATCGGGGAATGGGGGAAACTGAAAATGAGATAAAGGAAAAATGCGATTCATTGAGATAAAAAACGCGATAAAGGATAAGAATAGCCTAAAAAGCGGCTCTCAGAGGGGATAAAAAGCCGTTTGAATAAAACTCAATCTGCTTGTAAACTAGAACTGAACTAGCGAACTTTGATTTGAGTAGACATTGATGGCGTTTACACACTGCAAGATAGTTCTTTGCACAGTTAAATTGTACCATGTGGCCTTTTGCAACACCATCAATAGGGTGGTTCCAAGCCTAGGCTACATAGCCTTTAATACGACTTGTTTGCTTTCCCGTACCATGGCTTATTCCTAATTAATGCATGCTAGAACTGAAGGTCTTCCAAATATTTAGAACAAATTTGAAAGCTTCCGATTGGCGAGGTGTTTGCATGCATGATTGACATAAAATAGAGCACATGTTTTCCTAGCGAAAATGGCAGGTTAGGGCGATTTCCCGATTCCCCGATTCCCCCATTCCCCGATTCCCCGTTCCCCCTTTTAAAGATAGCCATTCTTTTGTGAATGTTTAGTCGGAATTTCATTCGAAGGGCTGCTTTGAGTTTTTTTTCCTAAACAAATAATATGAGATCCAATAATTGTTCCTATAACAAGAATGTTCAACAAAGCCTAAAATTACTAAATTCAGATAAATGTGTTTTTCTTTCCTAAGAATTAAACGTTATCGTACATAATCTTTAAGTTTTACTGGCGATTTACGAATTCTTGTCGAACGCCTCAGAGGTCCTGGCTGTGTTTCTTCCGGTGGAGGTGGCTGTGCCGTTATTTGTTCCTCGGTTGTTTCTGTTGTTAATGGAGTCAGTGAAGTCAGTGATGGTAAGGTTTCGTCTGGGAGGGATACTATTTCTACATCTTCCTGGTTCTTTTTATTGAAAGACTGGGGTGTAACTTCAGCTTTCCGGATTTGTTTATGGTTTCGTTGAATTAGTCCAAGAGACGTATCCACTACACACGATCGGTGGCCACGATCTTTTACGACTTCTCCATATATCCATGGCTTGTGCTTATTCTTCGGGTTTGGTTTCACGAAGACACGATCGTTTCGCGAGAACGTGTTCAAAGGGTGCGGTGATGCTCTTTTATCATACTGTTGTTTGGACCGGACTCCACGTGACATTATATCATTTACGACTTCAGTGCTGGGAACAGGATGTGGGATAAGTTGTTGAGGTACTGACACAGCGATATCTCGTAATTTCCGATTCATAAGTCTTTGAGCAGGTGAGAACTTGTGACCCTGTTGTGGAGTGTTCCTCTACGCCAACAATGCCAAATAGGGGTCTTCATGCCGTGCTTTCTTTAGAATGTTTTTCGCTACTTTTACTGCAGATTCTGCCTTTCCATTGCCTTTACTATGATAAGGCGAGGACTTAACTGGGTTGAATCCATATTCACTGGCAAATTGGCTGTACTCGTGGCTACTGAATTGTGGACCATTGTCACTGATGCATACGCGAGGAATCCCTGCTCTGGCGAAGTTCTTCTTCATGGCGTTGATGACTGCCGTTGCTGACGTATTCTTTAGCCAATCAATTTCTATGAAATCACTGTAATGATCAACAGTTACTAAGTACGTTTTACCATCCAATTGAAATAAATCAACACTTACTCGTTCCCAGTAGCGTAGCCAGCCTGTCGATTTGTCCCGCTATGCTAATATCTTCGTGTTCACTGACTGTGAAAACAATAGATTTCTAAAGAAATGAATAATTATAATAACTCGAAATTTACATAGCGGGACAAAATCGTCAGGCTGGCTACGCCACTGCTCGTTCCCATGGAAGTGTGGGAATTTCTTGAGATTTCATCGGTTCGGTTGGTCGTTCTGATTTATACTGTGCACATAGTCCACATGACGAGCAGGTTTGGCGTATTGCCGCTGACATTCCTGGCCAGAATAATGTTTCTCGGGCTCTTCTTATACTGCTGTCTGCACCTTGATGAGCTTTGTGTATCTTGTTCAACATCTCTTGTCTCATTGATGACGGGATAATTACTTGATGAGACTTCAATAGTATCCCCTTATCAACCGTAATCTCGTCTCTAAAAGACCAGTATGGCCGAAGATCGACAGGTAGCAAAGCTCTATCTAACGGCCATCCTTTTAGTACTGTTTCATAAAGTGATTTCATTGTTAAGTCACTCGATACTTCTTCTTTTAGTCGCTCGAATGTGACATTAGACAAGTTGGGTGGTCTAAGGTCCATTGATGATAATTCCATGCGAAACACTTCTTCATCACTTGTTCCCATTTTCGTGGGATTGGTTAAAGCTGCTCGAGACAAATTATCAGCAATGTACATCTCTTTCCCTTTTTTGTAGTTCACCGAAAAATGGTACTGTTGCAACTTGAGCATCATGCGCTAAAGCCGTCTAGGTGCTTTGCTTAACGGTTTTCTAAAAATTGTCTCCAGTGGCTGATGATCTGTGTGAACGAGGATGTTTTTCTTCCCATACAGGTATTGGTGCCATTTGTTCATACAAGTAACGATAGCCAGGCACTCCTTCTCAATCTGTGCGTAGTTTCTTTTCCTTCTCAATCTGTGCGTAGTTTCTTTCAGTTGAATCAAGAGTATGCGACGTAAAACACACTGGTTTCCCATTCTGAAGTAAAGCCCCACCA